TCCCCCCGCCGTTCCTTCGCGAGTAGAATCGACCCACCGTTCCTTCGCGAGTAGAATCGACCCACCGTTCCTTCCCGAGTAGAATCGACCCACCGTTCCTTCCCGAGTAGAATCGACCCTCCGTTCCTTCCCGAGTAGAATCAACCCACCGTTCCTTCCCGAGTAGAATCGACCCACCGTTCCTTCCCGATCTGTATCTCCTCGAAGCTGCTGCAGGTCCCAAGCACGGACTCGTCGATGTTCTGCACCGTGGAGATGATTGATCCGCCGCAGGCCTTCTGCGTCCTCTTCATGTCCTCGTCCACAACCCGGCCCGCGCAAAACATGTCCCTGTAATAGCACACGTAAAAACCACATCAGTACTACTGCTTCCCTCGTCCATGACCCGGCCCGCGCAAAACATGTCCCCGTAATAAACAGCAAAAACAACATCAGTACTACTAACTGCTTCCCTCATCTACCACCCGGCCCGCACAGTACACCTCCCTGTAACAACCCAAACGAAGACAGCATCATGTATTGCACATTCCCACAACTCAGTGACGCCTCCAGAAACCCTACTGCAAAAAAGGCAGCAGCAGACTCCCGCCAGATTCATTGCGGGGGCAACGCGCGGGATTAGTATCTCTACGGCGAAGCCTGCGAAACCATTTAGATGCGCACCGATCAGCGAAGAACTGAGTCGCGACGTCTCCTATGGGTAGCTTGGACAGCACAACCTTCGCTCCACAGTCGTGTAGCTTCTGCAGCTTCTCGTAGAGAATGTTCCACTCGACATCGACTACGGCCTGGTATTCCTGCAACACGCAAGCCGCAGGTCAAACGCTGTACACCGCAAGCCACAGGTCAAACGCTGTGCACCGCAAGCCACAGGTCAAACTCTGTACACCGCAAGCCACAGGTCAAACTCTGTACACCGCAAGCCATAGGTCAAGCTCTATACACAGCAAGCCACAGGTCAAACTCTGTACACCGCAAGTGGTCAAGCTCTATACACCACAAGCCACAGGTCAAACTCTGTGCACCGCAAGCAAGCGGTCAAGCTTGGATTGACAAAAAGGATTGCACATCAGTAGAACCAGCCGGGAGCAACTACAAGTCAGGTCAAACACGGCTACTCAATATAGACATTGCACAGTGTTGCAGTCATTATTTACTTTACATTAAACCCCAAAATAAGCATCCGGGCTGAAAATATAGTCACAACTTAAGGGGAAATCATAATACTACTATATTTAACATTACGAAGAATTTATGTATGTTGCAATTAACCATTGTTGGAACTCCAATTTTGAACAGAAGTTAAAGTCTCAGCAACTGAAAAAAAAACTCAGAACATTCTGCAGAAACTTTCTCTTCTCATCTTCACAAATGAATCGAACATCGCACCACACATACAAGTGTGCCGTGCGCGCACGCATACGCACCTCCACATTCTCAAGTCTGATCTCTGCGTTCTCGCGCTCAGACTTTAGCTCCAGTTCAATGTTGAGCATAGCGATCTTCGGATCTTTGTACGTCTTGGGCTGCATCTCAAATCCGGCGTACGAGAAGGTCTTCTTAAAGGCGACTCCATCGACTAATCGTGTTTCCTACGAGATTGAAAATCGGTTGACGCACAAATCGCATGCTCACAGCATATACATACGCACATCACCGTAATTAATTATAATATTAAATTACAAAATTAATACAATATAATATTATATATAATAATATATTTAATAACACTACCACTACTACTACTACTACTACTACTACTGCTGCTGGCTGCTGCTGCTACTACTAGTAACTACTACCACTGTTATATTATGATATTTAACTAAGACGCGTATAGTATATGCAGCATCCGCGTGCACGCGTCGCTACCGTTATCGACGTACCTCGAGGGCGCCACCCTGCACCTTCTTGATGCCGATCATGTTGAGAGGCAGCAGCTCGTCCATGTTGAACACCGCGTCGACGACCATCTTCGAGAAGTAGCCCTTCTGCCTCGCAATGAGCTTAGAGCAAAGCGACGTCGCCGCGCATTTCTCCAGCAGCGCGCGAAACTCCCTGCGAACACGCGCGGCCATCGAAGCGATTACGAAGGTCTACGCTTGGATATATTTACAGCTACCGTATCAGATCTACATCCCCTGCCCTCCTGCACGTCGCACCGTCAATGATCTACTCTCGGATATATATATATACAGCTACTGTATCGTATCTACTTTATTCTCCACATATAAGTAAGTGTCACAGTCGTGAGTGTGACGAGCTATCGAACGTCCCCACCCCAACACCCTGTCAGTCCCCCTGCCCCCCCGTCGCACTGTCGACAATCTACGCTCTCTGATATAGTTACAACTACTGTATCAGATCTACATTTATAAGAAACTCCATGTGAAACAAGCGTGCGTAATGCGCAATCGAAGCACTAACGAGGATCTACGCTCGGATATATTTACAACTACTGTATCAGATCTACTTTATTCTCTGCATATAAGTAGCTGTCGACGATACTACCCCCCACCGTGTCACACTATTGAGAGATCTACGCTCTGATATATTCACAACTACGGTATCAGATCTACTTTATTCTCTGCATATAAGTATGCGTCACCAATACTGCCATGGTCACACTTTCGAAGATCTACTCTTGGATATATTTTACAACTACTGTATCCGACCTACTTTATTCTCTGCATATAGGTAACACGATATGACGCAAGTTGATTCGGATACTCACTCGAGGTTATCTTTCTTCACCGGTACAGCAAGTTCTTTGATTTTCAAAACAGCCTGAAATTAGTCGGACAATGCATAACAATGTCAGCGGCACATTTTTGCAATCTTAGGCTCATATTTCCCGTGTTCACGATATACCGTAATACATTGATAGAGATACGATGGCATGTTATTATATTGAATATTGTGTGAGAACTTTTAGATTAGTTTGCAATTTTCTTGAAGAAAACAACAAGAACTAAAAACACTTGTTGATATAAAAACATAAAGACTATTCTTTTGGGTTTTTCACTACAATCATGTTTTTACCTGTAAACTCTTGCTGCAGTGGTTACGTTATCATCAAGGCATTATTAAACAACATGAAATTCACTATTTCAATATATTGCAATGAGATTTTCAATTAGACAGACCGACAATGGGCGACTATTTGTTACAGCGTTGCTTACCATGTTAGCTGCCTTGCGGTAGCTCTTCACAATGATCTGTGGATGTACGTTGTCCTCCACGAATGGCTTTGCTTGCTTCAGAAACTCAGCAGCTAGCAACACGACAGATGTTGTGCCATCACCAACCTGTCGCACAGACAACTACACTTTAGCGACATTTAGAAAAATGAACACGTTAAAATTTTCCTATTATTTTTGCCTCAAAATACAGTTAAAATTCGGATGTAGCACACGCTCGAAGAAATGTTTTTTTTTCCTGGAAGCGAATCAATAAATCTCCTTAGATACGGGCATCAAAAAACAAAAACCACACATTCACTTTTGCATGTAGTTATAAATCGAGAACACAATTCTACAATAAGCATGGGATTATAACTGCATGCTGGATACTACTGCTATATATGAGTGTTTATCACAAACCTCAGCATCCTGTGATTTGGCAATATCAACCAATGTCTTTGCAGCCGGATGCACAATGTCAAGTTCTTTCAAAATGGTCGCTCCGTCATTTGAGATTGTGGTTTTCCCTTTGTAAAATAAAAACTCAATGAAACTCATACCAAATTAATTTGTGAATAGGTATTCTTCCAAGGAAAGTTCACCATATTTATTCTTGACAAACACCTCTCTGTTCTGACTTACAATAAACCTAAGAGGAGGGTGCACAATTAACCTTCTTTGTGTAGTAGTCACACGGATTACTAGATTTTGTAATCTGGTGGTCCGTGAGCAATTCTGGTAGTTCAGAATTTTGGTATGCCGTGAGTAATGCCAAAACGAGTGGAGTCCACCTACATCACAGCACGAGAACCAAACATGGCTGCATCCATGTCGCTGATCATCATGCATGATAACAAATGCTAGTTTTAAGTATATTTGATACACGGTGGGTTAATTTATTTAAAATAAAGTTATGGCAAGTGGCAGTAAAGAAAAATAATTTCATTTACAGGTTTATTCGTCCATGTTGGTCGAAAACTGAGTGCCAAGTTAAGTTGACGCTGACAGTCAGGTAGTCCACTGGACCAGTTGACCGAGTTGTTACTGCAATCTACTCATCTGTGAGTAAATCTGGTAGTTTCAGACTAACGGACTATCGTTAATTTCAAACCATGAACTTATTATATACACACCATTATCAGCTACAATTAATTTGTCCATTCCACGAGGTCCCAGTGTCGTGCGCACTGCTTCAGAGATAATCTGGCAGGCATTGATGTTCGAAATGAGCTGTGGTTTGCCTTGTGACTGGTCCGTTCCCTCCTTGAGGAGAATGATCTGTGGTTGCTACAGTAAAAATGTGGAAACAGCACAGTAGTAAATAGACACGTGCGCCCGAATCAATCCATGGATCTGTCTAGCATGCAGAAAATGCCGAAAAGCCGCTCTATCCCATAATTGGTGTGATAAGCTGTTTCCAAAAGACATAGCTCGACAACGAATTGCCGTAACATCGATAATTTGTTATTTGCCAAATTGAGCCAGTGCCCGTGCAGTGCCACTGGGGTGACGCAGCATGGCACATGTGTATATAAACTGGTATACTTTTTCACGCGTGTACACGCAGATTACTGTCCTTTCAACGTACCAGATCAACTACTAGGTACTATAGCTATCTACTGTACTGGTATTATTACTACTACTACTACTACTAGCCATGTAACTTTGAATTAATGAATGAGTCATGCATTTGCAGCACCAGAGCGCAAACCATGATCAACGCCCAACTTGTTAACGTGTATTATAACTTGTAACACTAACGACCGATACGGTGATTATGTGTAAACAATATGGCAGCAGTATGATAAGGTGATTTAGCCATTTCTTAAGATTTGACATGACTGAAACATTCATACAAACCATCATTTTCCTGCCGATTACTTGTACAACACTAACAATGCACGCGAGGATAGTGATGGCCGACTCACGCGAGAATTTTCGAGATATCACCGGGTAACTGTAAAGCCGGAAGCCATACACTGATACACTTAGAATGGGTGACTATGCCACATATTTAAAATAAGACAAAATGTTATCATGAAGTGTATTTTATAAGGCCAAAAATTTAAGCATATTAGTTGTTTGAAGCAACGTACTGAGTTAAAACCGAAAGACAATGACTTACAATAATTAGAATATTTCCGGTTTTAGGGTTACTAACCACGTGCACAAGCGCCGTATTTAAACACCCACGTGGTTGAGAATAGTGTCACTTGTGTTTGGAGCAGCGACGGAGTCCAGTTCTTCTTTTCAACATTCCAATTCGCAGCCATGTCAGCGTGGACAAAGGACTATTTTTGGGGCAAGTTTAGACATTAAAAACAATTTTAGAAAAATTACTTGTTAACTAATTCATGTCGTGTTGTAGTATTGTGTATTTCTGCTTGCATACAGCGTCACAGTCACACCTCGTTCAGCTTATCTCTGCAGCACGTACTCGTTTGTTGGCTCTACCAGTACCACGGCACAGGGCCACCTACCACACACAGCCTCAGGCACTTGAAGCGTTTCAATAAAATATAATGCTAACTAAATACGAAATCTATTTACTACCAAATTCTTAATGTTTCTATACTCTCTTTCACCGTCCAAATCCTTCGTCCAACCATATACGCTGCCGGTGCCATTGGCATTGCTTTCGCGGCGCGACTGTTGGCGGGCCAGTGTTGCACGCTTACACTAATAATATTACTAATATATATAGTGCCATTAGTGGTGTAATTTACACCACACTACATATATTACACTATATATATTAGTGTAAGCGTGCAACAGTCGCGCCGCGAAAGCAATTTAGTTAGTATTTAGTTAGCATTATATTTTATTGAAACGCTTCAAGTGCCTGTGCTACCACACGTGGCAGAGCCAACGAGTGATACAGTATTAGAGGTATCTCAACCATGAAAAAATTAACACATGACATTTATTATTCACGTTCACCGTCACCGTGTAGTAATACTAATAGATATGTGTAGTTTAGGCCTTCTCTCTAATTTTAGCAGGACTCCTGCTGCCGTAACACAGAGGCAAAGCTATCTTTTCCTATCTCACCATGCCCCAGACTGAGCAAGAATTGTCAGAACATACTTGTCAGAGCAGACTTGTGGCATTGACCTTCCACCTGAGCGAAATATAACCACGCCCCTTTTGATATTACGGCTGCCGAGTCGGCCAAGCTAGACTCAAGTCATTCAAGTGTTTTTCACGCAGGCAAAGCAATTAAGTTATCGACTTTGCAGCACTTCATTATAAAGGTTAATTGCTATCGTGATTCGTGACGCTCTATATAGCTCTATACAACAATACCTCTCTGCTGTCAATCACTCCAGGTAGATAGCTCAGTTGCTTTCTGCCAGAGAAAAAGATGGTACGTTTTTTTTATAGGGTGCCAGCTGACTGAGGCAAACAAGTCGGTGCACTGGGATGAGGAGAATTTACCAGAGGACGAGGAGACGAATGGGAAAGATTCGAAAGAGGACGAGGAAGATGATGAAGACTTCTTGAAACATTCACTGTTCGCAAAGCAGGTTTGTCTGTAATAGGTTGCTGCTTGAACGGGCAGGTTTCATATGCTGCCAATTGAAATATTAATGTATTTCAGTATTGTTGTCTTTTAAACATTGATAATGATTGTGTCTAAGTGATTTAATTAATTGTGGCTGAGTTTACATAGGTTTATCATTTTAACCAACTATATGTTGAGCCATATATATATATATATATATACAGGGTTCTCCAAGCTTTTTTATTATAGCATGGCGGGTGCTGCCTTTACGGTCCTAGTTGCAAATCGCCGAGAGCGGTTTGCGTGCTAGGGGGGTCCGGGGGCTATGATATTTAGCATGGCGGCTATAATATTTAGAGTGGCGGGTGCATTTTAGGATAGCGGGGCTCGACGATAGCCTGGTGGGCCGCCAGGCTATAAGTGCTCTTGGAGAACCCTGATATATGAATCATGGGTATACATATACATGTTCAAGTTGGAGTAGGTATCCCAGTGATATTTTTAAAGTGCACGAAATTTCTAAACTTTGTGGATTTTAATATAAAGCTCACGAAAAGAAACATTTTGATACCTTATTTGTCAAATTTGAATGTATACTTTTAGAGATATGCTTATTTAAAAATAATGGGAAAGGGTCGATTTTGTTTAAATTAACGCATAAGTGATAATCAGTCATATTTGCACAGTCATATCTCAGAAATGCACCCTTCAGTGACATTGAACTGGTGTTATCTTAAACTACCTATGGCATACAACGCTATTTTTTTCAGGTTGTGCAGAATTTTTATTGTTTTTATGATTTTTTGAAAACCCTTCACCTCTTGTCATGTGTAACAATGCACATTTTTACTAGTTGCGCGCAAGTTCTCAATGCATTTTCAAAGCCACATAAATTCAAAACCGTACGGTACACAGAAGTAATCTTTGGAGACCAAGCAATAGGTATAAAGTTTAAAGGACTCTGTGAATATGGACCATGACAAATGTATAGACTAATTTTTTAAACTGTATCCAAACATGGCTCTAAACTGCTGCGCAAGTGCATTTTTAACAAACAAGTACTTTAAAAATACATGCCATTCATCACTCGACTTACCCATAGACTTAAAACGTTACATACTATTATATTGAATCGGCTACAATGGATGTAAAAAAACTAAATAGAAATATAAAGAACATGGAACAAATATGGCACTGCTTAATTCTGATCTGAAATGAGGCATAGGCCTAACCATCTCATTGTTTCCCTCTAACATTTCACAGTAGACCTCTACATGTAATTTCCATATTTCTCATTACATCAATGTTGAAATAAATACATGTTTACTAGTTTAGACAACTATTCAGTCTTTTCGTCATAAATTGTTTAAATTCAAAGACCTCAGTGAGTACAGTGCTGTACGCTGCTGTAGTCTAGATCGGCTAGCAACACATAAACAAAACGACGCTCGACTCGCTTGAGTTGCCGGCACAGTCGTTCCCGTTCATCGCTGCGCTCATGTTGCAACCGCACCGCGCTGGTTTGATGCTTCATTCGTATACGTTAAATTCAGCCGCTATGCACTGCTACGCCATCTCACGGCGAATATTGGATCATTGCTTATCGGGTTCTTCGTTAAATTCTCTTCATTTTGATATGAAAATCATGAAAAATAGTTCCGACGTTTCGATGAAAATTAACCGATTAAAATTCTTAACTGTGATTTTAGAGGAATATTTCATTACCTACCCCAACATATTTCACATGAAATTAAAGCTAAAAACCTGCTCTGTGTGACTGTTATGTTTTCTAAATGACTAATACATCGGTGTAAAAGCGTCTGGGACTAGAGCTATCCCCTTGCAACGATGGCTTTTCACAATGGCTGGCGAAAGACGTAATAAATGCCCAGCTAGCAGAGTGTTCAGGGTCTAATATCTCTGAGTGAAATTCAGTGAATGGTATATTTTAATGAAAATATCATAAATCAAGAGTTTATACATTCAGCTTTCAAATGGTATATAATTTTCCCATTAAAATAATAATCTTGGTGTGAATTTCGCCTGTTGAAAGGGAAGCTTTTTCTCACTCGCGGTGCAGCAGGACCCGCAATAATGTGCTTTACTGTGATACCTAGTTGGAGCTAATAAAGGGAAAGATCCTAGCTGGCCTCGTTAACCTCTGTGCAATCTTTAACCAGGTTGTGCTAGGAGTTGGAGCCGTCGCGGCTCAGCGCAATGTGATCGCCGTGGAAACCAAAGATTTTCATGGCAAGAAGATCACGCAGATCATTGCCAGCCTGACGCTTGGGCAGTGTGACCAAGTAAGTGTTCCCCAACATTTGCTAATCTGATCGGTCTCGATTTTAATTGCCACAAATTGCTTCGCGGCGATGGTTTTGTCCATGTTTTAGCCACCTAACGCAACTTGCGATAGCCGTTTAGAGTTGGTAAATTTATAGAATAGAATTCATAGTTTATATTCCAGTGAACATCTTCGTGCATATATGCACCTACCTGACTCACGTTTCTGTAAATCCATTCAACTAGTGTACAATCGACGTGGGATTCCATGCACCGACGACTTTCAAGCTGGTTGAAGGAAATGGTCCAGTTCACATCTCCGGTGCTCACATAGTCGGTACGCATACTCATACAACCGGAGATTAAAACGTTTATGTACGTGGTGGCTGTTAACTTTGACGGTAAACGTGATCACCTTAGTGTAGAACGAATGTTTGTGCGCTTCTCGCGACTGACACAAGTGCGTAGGCCGCGCAAAGTTTTTCTTGCCGTGAACATCGATGACAGCTATTTTCGTGTTTCCGCGCCAACTTCAGAGGTTCCGTACGAGGACCGCATGGACGATTCAATGATGGACGAGTTTGTTATGGAAGAGGAAGCGGAGTCGCCCAGTAAATACAAGCTGAGCAAGAAGCGAAAAGCTGCCAAGACGCCACCGGGGAGCAAGAGGAAGGTATGCCGCGTAGCCACGACGACGATCGTGCATAGGTTATCTGGTTACGTAACCGCTAGCATTGCCATATATCAGAAGACCGACCATAAACCATCGCACACACGATTTACCACACGATGCAGCTTACACCATTTGATAGCAATTTGCTCTCTGCAATCAACTCTTGCAGCCCGTAGTAGTAACTAATAGTGATATGGCAAGTACTGAATATTATCTCAAGTTAGTTGGTTTAATGCAATGATGAGGACAATTGATTACAACGTTAAGATTGTTGCCCAAAAATCATCACTACACCGGGTAACCTAAAACTGAAATCACGAGAACAACTGATTGTTCGCCGGAACTTTCCACTGGACAGGTTTATTGTAGTTTGTTTCTACTTGTCTGATGTTTGATGTATTGTGTTTGTTGCTTGTAAGGTTGTCAAACTGGAAGGAGGAGATAATCAGGTGACGGTCGAAAACGAGGTAAGCCTCGATAGTGTTCATTTCAGATTATTTTTGGTCATATAATATGGCATGAGTGGCCTAATATAACATTAACAGTGTGCACGTGGTACAGACTCGTTTTTATTTTGCTTTTTTTTAAAGGATGAAGAGAATGGGGAGGAAGATGATGATGATGAGGATGAGGATGAAGAGATGGAGGATGGTGATGAAGATGAGTCGGTACAGTGCTTGCTTGCATTATAATCGATTAATTATGTTTTTACATACCAAGAAAATTCTTCAAATTGTCTTGGTAGCATAGCAGACATCTGTAATACAGGTTGGACTACCTAATTTTGCCTAATCACTTATCGCTGTTAATCGAATAACAGTAACCACTCATAGTATCATGTAGGATTATTAATGTTATTAATGAGATACAGATTGCATACAAGCAGTACCATCGGGTAAGTCTTTAATATGTTGTTTATCTTCATATTGTTGAGAGTGAAGGATATACGTATACAATTGCTCATTAGTTTATGGACGGATTTATATACAGGCCACAGCTGAGGATGAGGAAGAGGAGGAAGAGTCAGAGGAAGAGGAAGTGAAACCCATCGTGAAGTGAGTTTCATACATTATTGCATAGATGTTATACTGAACTGTTACTGAAGATTGATACATGAATATTGAATACATGAATATTGATACATGAATATTGATACATGAATATTGATACATGAATATTGAATACATGAATATTGATACATGAATATTGAATTATTCTTGTGGAATGTCATGATGTGTTCTAGTGTTTAGTAATATGCTAATTATCCCTCTTTATTTCTACACCCAGAAAAGGAAAAGGAAGACCAAAGGCTGCTACTAAGGTATATAACTATATCTATATATTTATATAGGTATATATTTCTATTCTATTTTACTTTTCCGAAAAGTGATTGCACAGATAAATATGCATAAATTTACAAAACTGAGTATTTTCCATTTTCCATATAATATAATATAATATAACATAATGTATGGCAACTATTTTACTGAAAATGTATTCACGTGTTATGAAACGCTAACAATCATTATGCTATAACAGGTTGAAACAGTTGGAGCGAAGAAAGAGAAAGAGGCAAAGGTAATAAAAAAAGTACTTGCACGTTATGAGTAGTGGTATGACAATGCGTTCTCCTATTGATATTATATAGTAATTGGTAGTCAGTATAATTGTTTTGATACTGCACTTTGATATTGATAATAATTGTTGATAGGGCCTTAAAAGTACCGTTAGCTTCAATAGTCACGTTCCATATAATATTGTGATGTACTTTTATGTTGTGTTATATCAATTTGTTTTTGGCATGTTTTTGCTACTTTATTGCAGCGTTGGTTTTGAATATTTATCTCTCCCACATCCCTTGCTGTAATTGCGTTATCGGTTACCTTTTCCAGAATGGTGTCCAAGCAGGAAAGAAGGTAACAAAGAAAGCAAAGAAAGTAAAATAATCCACTATGACTGTTTTGTCCTGTAATCACTTTTGTTACATTCCATTCTTAATCAGTGCATTAATTGACTACATCGTAATTGTGATTTCAAAATATTATTTCCTGTTTTTACTAAAAGATCTGTTTCCTTTTTCTAACAAATATGAATACATGGTGCATATGTATATCATAGGCATGTGGTAAAATGGTAAAAAATAAATGTATTTTGTATAAAATGTTGTTTTGGTATATTTATATCGAGCAACTTCACGATTCGAATTCAGTCATCTTTGCTTCATTCGGCGGCTGAGTACAAACCATGAAAGCATTACATAGGATGGGTGCATGGGTCTCTCCAAGAAAATCCCACAATGTAAGACGAAGACTGTACTTATCATGGCACGAGCTGTTATATTGCAAAATGAAAATACAACGCACTTTCAAGCTAGAAGGTCTATATGTGATCGAACACCAAACGCGTGAGAGAAAACCTGCTGCCCCATAACAGGGGGATTGAGGGGGTTACTTTACTGAATTTCGCTAATTTTAAGATGCGTAGCACACATTCGCAGGGTGCAGTAGCTAGACATGAAAAATAAATCTCGATGTATCTAATCATGAAATGTCGACGTCTTACATAACACTAATCAAATTTAGATCTGCCAATAGATGGCGCTATATCTCCAGCCCACATGGTGCAGTCAGAGCATATAAATCAACATTTATATGCTCTGGTGCAGTTTATCAAATAAATAAAACTGCATTTTTTGAATTTGCGCTTTAATTTAGAGAGCGCGCGCACACGCACGGACGCGCGCACACACACACGCACTGAAGGCATTATCTCGCTCATCGCGATAGCATTAGCTGCAGCTAGCACTCTGCATTAGCGCCATTTGGTGACACCGAACAAAGGGTTGGTATCTTGGTCTTTTAGATTGATACGTCTTACGTTACCGCTGATTTTGGCGTAACTATAGTTTCTGTTTTTTTACATATGTAAAGTTAATTTTTCGGGGCATGATTCGTTAAGATTTATCCACGTCAAAAGATTAAAGGAAACGAGAAAAATTCTTTCCAATAAAGCAGTGAGAACGTGATTAGTGGACTGCATGTTGTGTGCGCGTGCGTGTGTTGGTGCGTGCGTGAGTTGGTGCGCGCGCGCGTGTTTGTAAGAAGGTGCGTGTGCGCGCCCGTGTTGGTACAAGCGTGTATGTGTGTGTGTGTGTGTGTGTGTGTGTGTGTGTGTGTGTGTGTGTGTGTGTGCGTGCCGTGTGGGCGTCGTGCGCGCGTGTGCTTGTGTTTGCGCGTGCCTATTTGTGGGTGTGCGTGTACGCGCGTGTGTTGGTACATGCGCGCGCGTGTTTGTGCGTGCGCCTGTATTTATGCGTGCGTGCGTATGTTGGTGTGTGCGCGTGTCTATGTGCGTATGCGTGTGTATTGGTGCGTGTACGCGCGTGTGGTGGTGTGTGCGCGTGTCTATATGTGCGGGTGCGTGTGTATTGGTGCGTGTTACGCAGCCAGTGTGGTTGGTGTGTGCGCGTGTCTATATGTGCGGGTGCGTGTGTATTGGTGCGTGTACGCCGCGAATGTGGTGGTGTGTGCGCGTGTCCTATTGTGCGCGGTGCGTATGTATTGGTGCGTGTACGCGCGTGTGGTGGGTGTGTGCGCGTGTCTATATGTGCGGGTGCGTGTGTATTGGTGCGTGTACGCGCGTGTGGTGGTGTGTGCGCGTGTCTATATGTGCGGGTGCGTGTGCGCGCATGTGTTGATGCTTGCGCGTGCCAATGTCTGCTTGTGCGTGCGCGTGCGCTCCTGGTTTTGTCCCCGTGGCGCGCGCGTGTGCTGGTGCATGCGAGTGTCTATGTGTGAGTGTGGCATGCGCGCACGTTGAGAGGGCCTCTGCGCGTGCGTGTGTTGATGCGTGTGTGCGCGTGCGTGCACTCGCGCGTGTTGGTGCGTGTACGCGCGTGTCTATATTTGCCTGTCTATGCGTGCTGCGTGCCGCGCGTGTGTGCGTCGTGTCTATGCGCGTGTTGCGCGCGTGCTCGATCGACCGCGCGGGGTGTGCGCGTGTCTATCGCGTGTTGTGTGCCGCGTAGTGTGCGCGTGTGTGTGGGCGCAGTGTCTATGCTGCGTGTGGGCGTGCGCGGCGTGTGTGCGCGTGTCTATGCGCGTGTGCGTTGCACGGCGCGCGTGTTGATGGCGTGTGTAGCGCGTCGGTCTATGCGCGTGGTGTGTGCGCGTGCGCGTTTGATCAGTAACTCTGTCTGCCCGTAATAACGTGATGATCAGCTGAGAGCTTATCAATACGACGGACAAACATCATGATTATCTGTCGGCGACGACGATTGAGACATCACCCTTGGTACGATGTCACTGTATCTACGAAACCATACGACACGAGCACAGACGCAGCCTGATCCTGTCACGTGACCCACGGTGACTGCTGTCGCGCCAGCAGCTTACATCATAAACAGGAGAGGAAAGCGGATTGGCTGATGTGCTTTTCCCGCTTCCAGGACGCCATCCTAAAGGACACAATAAATCAGCTGGAAACGTGCGACGTGCAAGACCAAGAACCCAACAGACAATAGAACACTAAATCTGTTCTAGCAGATATGACCAAATTTGTGCAAAAGATTTGGCCAGATATGCGGCTTCCTCTTTTTGTATATATAGCTCATTGCTGTCCGCTGACCAGACGAGCGACACATCGCGCACTCACGCACATTTTTATATTTTTATTATAATTTATTATTTATTTTCATTAGTTGATAATATGTTATTGTATTATTTAATTTTTATTTTTTTTTGTTAAATCTTCGATCTCTTTATATACATTCATCATCACATCATCATCCATCCATCCATATCACATCATCATCATCATCATTATAGCGTGCGTATAGTGTATGAAGCTAGTGTCGTCTGTTCCATTGCAGTCAAGCAATGACCTGACGATAGTGACGGCAGGATCGCGCGTTACTCCACGTGGAGACGCGGAGGATCTGATAACGCTTCAGGCAGCGTTAAGATCGCGTTGTCTCCTACCTACCAGTCCATGGTGCATCAGCGCGATCTATAAACAACAACACGACAGCGGTCCGAAGGAATTAGGAAACTCTGGCCTTAAACCTATACGCCATCTATAACAACACTATAACGAACCTTACGGCAACTGTGGCGCAGTTCTGAAGAAGTAACGTTGTTTACTCTATCCTTAGAAACCTATGCAAACATACTTCTTCAGAACCGACTGCTACTTTACAGTGTACTCTCTTTTTTTGTACCAGGCGGGAGGGGCGTGGACTGTACTTCCGTCGTGTGGCTCGAAACTCTCAGGGGCGTGCGTTAAACTGCGCCGCCGAGCCACACACCTGTGTGGACGACAGTAGTTTCCTAAAGAGTAGAAGTTCCTAAAAAGCCTACGGTAATAGGTAAATGGTGAAGGTAAAGGTAAAGGGTACGGTGTAGAGATAGATGTACATAAGGCTATAAGGGTAAACGGTAGAGAGTGTAAAGGCGCGTTTAATGGTATAAATAGGTAGAGTGCTCAGGTGAAAGAGTGGCTTCTAAGAGTAGTGGCATGGTCTTGTCTAAGGTAGAGCTTGTATATTCCTATCAACCCCGCATGGCAGTCGTGTGTTGCTTATAGATGGTCGTATACACGGTATCAAGGCTAGAGTTTCTCAATTCCTTCGGGACCGCTGTCGTGATCGTGTTGTTTATAGGATCGGCGCTGACTTCACATGGCACTCGGTAAGGCAACTACGGGAGACACGGGGCATGCTCTACGCTGTCACTGCACGCCGTGCTCATCAGATCCTCCGTCTCCACGTGGAAGTTAACGCGGATCCTGCTCACATCGTTCAGGTATTGTTGATGTTAATAGCAACCAATTTGGACACAGACAGCACACATCCGTCACTCATCTACACTAATACCCTCCGCACCGTACTAACTGATGATTATGATGATGATGATGAGTGATGATGATGATGAATGATGATGATGGAATCGATTATACAAGAAGACGAAGAATTTCAAAAAAAAAACAAAATATTAAAAATTAAAACTTAATACAATAACACTATTAACTAATAATCGAAAAAATATATAAATACTGTACGACTAAAAAATCTATAATAATGTGCCGTGAGTGTGCGAGATGTGTCGCCTCGCTCGGTCATTGACCGTGACTAGCCAAGCGACGCTATATAAACAAGCAAGAGGAAGCCCGCTCATATTGGCCCATAATCTTTGCCCATATTTGGTGCATATCTGGCCTAAGAACAGTACCTTAGTGTTCTAATTTGTCATTCTGGGTTCTGGTGCTGACCGCCGTTCAGCGTGATAGGATCGGCTCCTTAGATTAGGGCAGCTCCTTGAAACGCCAAAAGCATCACACGCATCTAGCTCCTTCATTCACTTGGTTATATAGTAGGCATCCTTATGCAGACCGACATGTCAAGCAGTCACCGTGCGTGGCCACGCCGGTGACAGGACACGTTCTCTCTGGCTCGTGGCGTAGGTTCGTAGAGCAAGTGACATCGTACCAGGCGATGTCACAGATAGCCTCGGCGACAGATAATCATGAGCGTGTTGTCGCGTCTAGCTTCGATAGAGCATTCAGGCCTGAACGTCCCACGGTATTTCTTCAGCGGGCAGCCCCAGATGCTCTCTTGCTGAATACACCGCCGCGGCTACGCCGCACACACTACGGCCTGCACAGGTCGGTTCACACTGGATCCGTTTATAGCGATTTTTCACCGCCCGCCCCCGTCGAATTATCACTTGCGAGGACGTGTCCGTGTTGCGTAAGCCTGTCTTTTAGAATTCAGTCGCCTATCGT